AATTAAATAAAAATCAGAGCTAACCGCATCGCCATCTATTAACGCATTTTGCAACTATTATTAAAGAATTTTTTAAGGTTAATTCCCTGATAAAATTCTTTATTCATAATCTTTTACGCCTTGTTTGTAATTGAATGCTTAATTTACTGTCTCTAAAAAAATTTATACACGCTTTAAAAAGCAAATTAACTGTGATAAAATGTAAATTTGCATATTTTAAACACGTTAAATAATTACATTTTACATTGTCTGGGAGATGGCGACGATGCTATAAATCAGAAAACTGCTTGTCTATTCTGCTTTTTTTTTTCTTTTAAATTATGGAAATTTTATATAATTAAAATAAAAAAATAATTAAAATTTTAAAAGTTAACTGTGTTTACCGGCTTATTTTTCACTTTATCGCCAGAATAAATGCTCAAAAAGGAAGAAGAAGCATCAATAATAATTAATAACGTCAATAATTATCAGTAATTTATTATAATAATTGATAATAATAGTCCACAACTTAACAAATTCATCTAAAAAAAAAAATAAATAAATAAATTCTGTCAAAGATGGAAATTAACCCTCATAGATTATTATTGATTTATCATAAATTTAAGCATATTTTTCTTCTATTTTATAATAAATAATAATGAATTATTAAGTGTATTTTTCTTTCAAATGATAATTATTAAAATGGTGTTGCTATAGTAACAATATACTTTGTATAGGGTGCAGGATGTACCGCCTTAGTTGTAGCTGTGATAGCCCGAAAATTGGAGTTGACTAGGGCAGAAAAACACGTCCATAATTTTATGATGGACACGCAATTGACAAAACGGGTAAGTTTTTTCCCCCTCCCCCTTACTTAAGAACATAATTTGTAGAATGTCAATCAATAAAATCGGGTTTACTCGAGTGTACACCTTCCTTCCCTCTTGTAAATTTGATTAGTAAAAGTTGATTTAAAAATTTTTGAAGATATTTTTTATTTTTATTATTATTTTTATTTATTCTCCTCCCATTTAACTACCGAAACTTTCAATTTTTTGAACGAATGACTTTTGTTTATTAAATTTTGAAAGTCAAAGTTAACTTAGGAAAGAAGAAGAAGAAGGAGGAGGAGGAGGAGGAGGAAAAAAGACGAGAAAACAAAATAAAAATAATAATAAAAAAAAACATATATGTAAGAAGAAAATCAATTTGAAATTTCATACTTTTTAAACGATAGATTTATTCAGAACAGAAACATTGAAGCAGAAAATAGAATCCCCAACTATAGGCCTATAATCCAATACAAGAGAGATATATTCCCAAAAGAGTTTCTACGGTATATTGAAAGAACAAGAAACTTTCAAGATGATCGAAACGACAAAAATGGCGGAGAAGAAAACAGTTTAAGAAAAGAAAAAAAAAACAAAATCTTGTTTGTACAACCCTCCACTCGATCCAAACATAATTATTTTCTATACAAAAAAGTATGGAGATGAGATAAACTTATACTGCAATACATACCAAACTTTTCTCCATCTCTTCCTTGTCGATCCCCCTTACAAAACTTCAATTTAATTTGCCGACTCTACATTAAAATAAAATAAGTATTAATTATAAATAAATAATGTTTTATTTTATTTATAAAAAAAATCACTCCGATTCTCGAATGACCTACTGCAATTTATAGATTCCTCGACTGATTCCTGGAGGATTGGGATCGGGATCTTTATGGGAATTTCAGAAAAATTAGTTTAAATTTTTATAATAATTATAATTTTTGTAGATAAGTCTTTAATTTTCCATTTATTTCTTTTTGTTTACAGCTAAAAAATGCCGCAGCTAACGTCCTACGCGAAACTTGGTTGATTTATAAAAACACTAAATTGGTGAAAAGAGTTAACCAATCCAAAGTTAGAACACATCAAAGAAAATTCTTATTAGCCATTTATAGGTAAGTGTCGAAAGATAATTTTTCTTTTCTTAACAGAAATATTCGAGATGTGTCTTTTTTTTTCTTTATTTTTTTTTCTATTCTTTTGTTGGAAGACTTTGGCAGACTTTTACTTTTATCCCGAGGACAATATCAGTTCCAAAGATAGCTGTGTCAACAGTCAGCCTCCTAAATACGAATGTATGGAGTCAACGGATTCGTTCTTATGAGATTCCACACTTTTGACTAACAAAAGTTGTTTTGTGTTGCATTCGTCACTCCGTTTGAATTGAGTGAATGCAGCACACCTGCAACTTGCAAGGAGAGATAAAGTCAGCAACACAACTCAATTCTTCCCCCTTTTTTCCCTTCTCCACTTCTTACTTTTCACTAAAAATTTTCCACGTCTCGCCTGTCAATAAAACATATTCTAATATAAATTAATAATATATATATATTTTTTAAAATTTTATTTAAAACTTTTAGTAATTAAATAAATATTTACAGCCTTAGAAAAGTCAAAATGGACCAAAGGAAATTAATGGATAATGCTAACACTATAACAGACATGGCAAAGGTGAGATGAAGTTCAATCATTACAATTAATTATAATGTTGTAAGGAGTAAAACAGGAGTTTTAAATATCTTTAATTAAACATGTATACGCGATTTTTGATCGATACAGACTAATTAAAATGAAATTTACTCGGAAATCGTTTTTAAATTTAATGTTTTTTTTTTCAAATTTCATAGACTCAAAACAACGTTTACGAACTTGTTTCGGATATGAACCAACGACAGGAGGTGTTAGAAGAGCGGGTGTCGGTTCTCGAAGATAAGCTCACAGTAATACAAGAACAACTGGAAAACTTACCACAAGCGATCGCTAAATTGCTCCAACCACCAACAATGAGTCCGCAACCGGGTTCGGGCACGCTACAACTTCCAAACGAACAACGTCATACTCATCTTCACCCCGACGATGCAACGTCTATATCATCTCGACCTAGTTGGAATTCTGTAAACCTGGGGACAACGAGATCCGGTCTTGCACCACCTCTGGTACCAAGAGCTCTTTCCACCGAGAACTGAAAATATAAAGGAAGAGGATTAAAAAAAGGGGGAAAGAATAAAATAGAAAATTCTAGTCACTTTATAAAAAGACTCAGGAGAAACAAACCTCGTTAAGGGCAAGAAACAGACACCTCCATTTAAAGCACACACTTAGTTTCAGGGTGAAGATTTCTTGTCCATGGTATGCACCGTCCATGTACAAAAATACAAAAAAAAAGAAAAAATTATATGGATTGTTTAATTCCTTTTATTAGTTTGAATTCGTAGCTGGGTGTTACCTATGAGACTTGCCCTATAAAAAAAATAACCCGAAGAATGAGAGAAATGGTGTTTTCGATTGTCGCGTTGAACAGTCTATGGGTAACATTCAGAAAACAATGAAGTGGAAGGGTCTATAACTCCATATCTTCGCATATCTATCTTACTCACTCTATTATCTTTGTCTTATATATCACTAAATTATTTATTTCAAAACAGAATTGTTTAGATGAGAGAGAGAGAGAGAGAGCATGCAGTTACATCACGACATGTATCAAAAAATAATATAAAATAAAATAAAAACTTAGATAGATACTAGCACAAACATATAAGTAGAATAAAGAAAAAACAAAATACCAGAGATAAACTAGAAAAAATATTTTAAAAAATTGAAAAAAAAAATTTAATTCAAAGTACGAATTTTTAAACAATGCAATAATAATAATAATTCACAAACTTTTAATTTAAACGGCATTACTTACTGTACTTTATTCTGATTGGTTAAAAATATACCGTATAGTTGCTAGTTAATTTAACGCTTAATACCCTTAACAACGAATTAATTAATGTAATTAAATATAATTTTTAATTATAATTTATCTAAATACATAGTTTATACGAAAAAAAAATTTTAAATTGTAAACCCCGCTGCAACGAACACTTTTCACACGAAGCAAGCGATCGTTCGGTAACTCCATCTGTCGGTGGAAAATGTAAAAATGGCGCGCGAAAATTTTTTGGTATATAAATATATATATATATACACAAAAAAAAATAAATAAATAAATAAAAATTTGTACTTCAAATATGTAAAATATATTATACATATATCATGTATAGAAACATTAAAAAAAAAGTGCTTCCACTTTAAATAATAATAATAATAATTTTGCAAATAATTTATAGTTTAAATTTTCAACAAATTCTTTTACACCCCAACTGAGTTTAATAAAAATATTTTATTTTTCGCTCCTTTAAAAAACAAAAAAATAAAAAAAAATAAGAAAAAATTATATATATTGTTTATTTTGTAAGTGTTGTTGATGTGCAAAGTTTGCAAGAAAAAAAATATGAAAAAAATTATATATATTTGAAAAAATAAAAGAGCTGCGGAGATGAACTTCTCTATTTGTTACCCTAACGAGGATGAGAAAGTGTCTTGTACATACACAAATATATATATAAAGTATATATATATATATGAATAAAGAAATAAAAATATATCTTTCCAAACTTTTTGCCCAAGAAAATTATGTAAAATGCAAAATATTTATAGAGAGAGAAATAAAAAAAAAGTTGATTATTTAAAATTTTATTCATCATTCATCGTGGCTCCATCTATGGATATAAATGAGAGTTAACGAAACTAAATATTTAAATATCTATATATACACAATTATAATGAATAAATATTCAAATTTATTCTTATAATTAATAAATATTATTATAAATTTTTATGTCGTAATTGTTTTTTCTAAAATAAAATTATAAAATTATCAATTTTTTTTTACTGCTGGATACAGTTATAACGAATAAAATTTATTACGGATTAAAGTTATATAATTTATTATTTAGAATTTTTTTGTATTTATTTATTAATATGCGTTATAAATATGGCAGTAAAGAATAAATAATTATAATTAATTAATTCGATTACTATTTTTTTATTTGTGGCGCCATCTATAAATGATTGTTATAAATTTTTAATTATAATTAAAATTTCTTTCATTTTTTTTTTTATTTATCGAAAAATAAAATGAAATTTACATTATTTTATAAAAATAAAATTTATATAAAATAAATACAAGTACAAGTTCTAATCTTAATTAAATTTTTGGTAAATTATAATCAACTTTTATGCTGTCATATGCTGCCATCTATTCGAAAAAATTTTAAAAATTCGTTTGGTTATTTTATTTAAAGAAGTTTTTTTAACTAAAAAAATTAAAATATTTCTATTTCTATTTATTTATTTGTTTTACATGACACAAACTTCTT